TTGTAGTATCTCATTTTCTGTTTTCTTCCAAGGGAAACACACGGTGTCTGTTATCCCCCCCCCCCCACACACACACACACACACACCTACAGGAAATCCAGTTTATAGATTATTTAGGTGTCCTCTGTAGTCTCACACACACACACATGAACATAGTCTGCTCTCTGTTGTATTTCTCTCTGACGGTAATTATCACCCTGTGGGACTGCACTGAGCAGTCCCTGGTTCATCACAGCAGCGCAAAGGTGGAGACACACACTATACAGCTTCTAGTGGAGCCTATTGTATTCAAACAGCTTATTAATGATTTTTCCTTTCTACCTTGTAATCAGCGCATATGGAACTCTAAGGAATAAGATGATTCAAAAACCTGTTTCTGCTCAGAAACCTGACCGATGTTAACCACAAACACACGTGACAAAGTACACACTGTCAGCCAGTTAAAGATTTTTCCTGCAGCACTGGATTATATTTGATAAACTTTCACTTATTAACTGGTGCTATGCAGTTGAATAACTTTTATTGTCCTGTGATTTTTATGCATATTACAGTTTGTGCTTGTCCTGTTGCATACTTGCTTGTAGTATTTTTTTATTCAATGGTGGCATGTTTTCTCTCAACCCCTGCCTTCATGCAAATCAAGTGAAACACACAACCGCAAACACACACTATATTTGGATTGGAGGTGACACAAGGCAGTAGCGCAATAATATGTTTTTGTAACCGACATGGCTGCTAGTTCTGCTACCACAATTATTGCTTTAAGTTTGTGTTTAAAAGGTGAATGAACACTTTTATATGAAGTTAATTAAGCTAAAAGAGTAGAGCTTTGGAAGACATTATTATTGATTTTTTACCAGGTCTATTTTGTGTTGTTGAACTCACTGTGAAACGTTTTTTGGGGATTTGTGAATGGCAGACTTTTTCCTGCTTATATTTAAATCACCATGCCAGTGGTGTTGCATGTTCTTACAATATATGTACGGTATACTGCAGCACAGTTAACCATTTGCAAACCATACTGCTGTGTTTTACAACAATCGTTTCTACTTGTCTCTTCATCTTATTTTCTATTGTGATTTCTATTCATTTCAGTATGGTAATGAACGTCAAGTCCGCAGTATTTTTTTTGGTCAAAGTTATTATTCTAATGTAATGGAGTGCTGACTTTTCAAGTCAATCTGCACTTTATGTGCATTAACACACAAAAACAAAACATATGCAAACTGTATGTTAACTGTGATCGATTAAACAACTCAAGCCTCTACATACCTATAGTCCTTTTACACAGTTGTTTTCACTTATAAAATATGAGTCAGGACTGCATGGGCAAGTAATTGGCAATTCCCAGCATCCACCCAACTTCCACCTGACTAGAGCTGTAATCAGCCATCTTAATGAAAAACACACTTTCAGGTATACACGGTCTTTAAGAGACGCAACTAAAGATCCATAACTGCACAGAACACACTCTAAAAAGGTTTAGTATTTATGATTTGTTGCCAAAACCTAAAAAGATACTTTGTTCTTCTGTTCCTTTTCCTACAATATACACTATATGTACTGTAAGTGAGTGTGTTTCTTTCTTTCTTTCTTTCTTTCTTTCTTTCTTTCTTTCTTTCTTTCTTTCTTTCTTTCTTTCTTTCTTTCTTTCTTTCTTTCTTTCAACCAGTCTTTTAATGGAGATCAAATCTTTAACACTTGCAGCACAACTCCTTCTACCCACTGAAGCAAACAACATCAAAGCAGTAAAATGCCAAGTTTCTTTGAAAGGCTGAGTGAGAGTCGAAAAAAACAAAAAAAAAACAAGGTCCATCTGTAGTATGGTACAACAAAATTTGGCCTCTTATCAGTGCAGATGCCAAAGCAGACAGCAGTGTTGCATCATTAGTGGCTATTTCAGTCCCTAATCATCAGTGGATCCCAACAGTGATTCTGTCATCTCTGTTTTTAAATATTTATAACAGATGAGTATTTCTGGATCCCCTAGCCATCGTTTTCCTAATGAATCTATTACAACCAAGTCTAGTTTCATCTTTGACTCTTTAATCTTTAATAAAGAATAAACAAATAAAATCACAGTCCCACCATGAACCTGGTGGTTTGTGTGTTGTGTGGTAGGTTTTCCTTTCCTGACGCTCAGTCTCTGTTGGACAGTGAAAAGTAGTCAGTTTCTGTTCAGAGCTTCCCTCTCCTCACCTCTGTTCTCACAGCAAGCAGTTTTAAATGACTGACCTGAAATTGCTTCTGAATAATAAAATTTGCTGCCCTTCATTGTGCCTGTCTCTTTCTCAGTGGTGGTAAAACACACTCCTTTGTGTCATGCTGTCAGCTTCACAGTCTCATTTTATATAATAGCTGTTCTTCAGATTAGACAAAAAAAAAAGAGTTTCAGGTGAGTGGTAAATTGGTCGTTAGTGACATAAAGAGTGAAAGAGAAGGAAAGGGTCTTTGTCTTTTGCTTTTCCTCTCTGTCTTTATTTGTTGAAATGAAATTTCTTACAGTACAGTGAAGGCCCTGAGGGATGGAGGGTACATCTGAGACGATTTGAAGGGAGTGAGAGACGGTAGTCCTGGATGGTACTGTAGAGCTTAGTTTTTGACTAATGAGGACACAGTACACTGTAATTCACTGCAGTGCATGTTGAATGTTTTTAATGCCATTAGGTCCTGTGGGATGCAAAATATAGAAATATGTAAAATAGAATGAAAAAAGGATTAAAAATATAGATCATATTTGAGTTAGTGAAACATACAAACAGACAACTTTAACACAAGTTAGGCAGAAGGTATAAATGGGAACACAGGACAAAACTTCTGCATTATGTCAAGTATCCTGGAATGGGAAATTATATTAATTAGAAAATATTTATGATACTTGTATTTCTACTCAACTGCAAGATGGAAGTATGCTGTTACTTTACAGATTATAAAAAATATGATCATGTTATAAAATAATGTAATGCATTATTATATGCATTCATCTGATGGCTTATAAATAGCTCTATTTTAACATTACAATGCAGCTTATATGTTAATTAATCAGTAAATAAATAAAATAATACATAAATACTGACATGGGTCATTTTGTCTGCATAATGAGTATGTTTACTGTTGTTATTCTTATAAAGTACATTTAGCAGATAGATACTTCTATACTCCTACTTTTTAGTGTAGGACTGTATTATTATTGCCATAGAGTGGTATTGCTACCTCCTTCCTTCCCTGCTTCCACCATTAAGCATAAGACAGGAGAAACCACTACAATCACTATCATTATTATCACTGTATATGTGATAATAAGGACAGGGACATCTGTGTGATCTAAGCAAGAGAATCAGTACAAACGTGGTGTGAAAATATTTGTGTTCATAATAAGGTTAAAAGGCAGATATATTGTAAGCCCTACCATATAACATGCACTGTAAACATTTATATCTATCAATATGCTTTGTTATCTTAAATGGGCAGATAACATAGGCTCAGAAAAGCCATCTAGATCTCCAAAATCTGCATTAGCAGAATTGTTTCATTCTCTGCTTGACTCGGCTGGCTCCTAATGTCTGAAATTTCAGGATGGATCAATAAATGCTTTGAATGAATAGTGGCAGCACTGAAAAGCAGAAAATGGAAGTGAAAAACACGGCGGAATCATCGGATACTGCGTTGCCATGGAAATGTTATCTTGTTAGGTAGTGACACAATTTAGAGATATGTACTCGGTTAAGAAATATTATGTAACCGCTCTCTCTTGATCCTTCTCTGTCTCTCTTTCTCCCTGTCAAAGACTGTTAGAGCGCAGATTATTGTTGATGTAATAAAATTCATCCAGCCAGTGAATCAAAATGACAGATACATAAAAAGCAGGGATAAGAGGATGGAGATGGAGGAGGGTCTCGGTGTGTGTGTGTGTGTGTGTGTGTGTGTGTGTGTGTGTGTGTGTGTGTGTGTGTGTGTGTGTGTGTGTGTTCCAGTAACCTTGCTGACTCTGTCCCCAGCCCATCCCCTCTGCAGGGGCCAAAGCCCGTCCATCCTGCTGCGGGGTAAACGTCTCTCCTCTGGACTCAGTTTGGTTCACTGAATCCTTACTGAGAGAGACACAAAGAGATGAAAGTATGAAGGGATGTGGGAATGGAGGAGGAGTGGGTTTTGACAACAAGAGAAGTGAGGATGTTGGTTGAGCAGGGCAGAGGAGGCGGAGTGGGATGATGGGTGAAGTGCAAAGAGAGAGGAGGAGGAGGAGGAGGAGGAGGAGGAGGAGGAGGAAAGAGGTGGTTTGATGACGAGAAGAGAAGAGGAGGAAGAGGAGAGAGAAAGTCCATGCACTGCTCAGTCTTCTCTGTTTTCCCTGGCTAAGAATAGCAGCTCTTCTGGTAACCCAATGCCCCAGGACATGAACATTTGAATAAAAGCCTCTAT